TGTAGGCTTATGGATATTGTCCTATAGCAGACAAGATTTTACTTCAAGATAGATCTTGAAATATTCTTTTTTACGATAAATATGAGGCCATTCCTCTTGAATTTGTTGTTACTGGTACAGTAAATCGTATGCTTGTCAGATTAAAAATGAACACTACCTGTCCATTTCAAGTCACTAATGCCTAGTATATTGATCTTTATATATTCCATTTCATTTTTGACAACTTGCAATTTACCTACTTCATATATAGTACATTCTAGCTTCCAATTATTAATGGATGTTTGCAGCTCTTTCTCTTCATTTTTACATTGTGCCCTATCAGCTAATGAAGGTCCCAAATACTTTGCTCTGTTCACACTATTAAGGTCAACTCTACTTTGTGGGAGGCAGCTTTCCCTCAGTGGAATTCTGAATGCCTTTCCCCTGGTGGGCTGAGCTTCTGATACTATATCTGATATTGTGCTGCTGCTATTCATGATGTTTTCATCTTGTAGCACTTTATCTGACAGTGTTCCTCTGCGATTTATAAGGTTTTCAGTGGCTAACCATTCAGACGTTGTCTGTCTCTCATTTCTAGTCTATGTTAGTCTGGAAACTCCTGTCTACCATGGGTGATCCTGCTGGTATTTAAAGTACCAGTGGCATAGCTTCCAGCATCACAGAAACACACAAGCCACTACAATATGACATACTTACAGGTAATTGATTTATCTAGCGTACAGTTACATGGTAGTTACCAGCTATCTTGTGAGTGCTTTACAAATACCGATTCACCTTATCCTCTAATAGCCCTGTGAGGTGATCTTATTTTGTTCTCACAGGAATTTAAAAAGAGGTTCTACCAGAGGTACAGGTCAGAGAATTCGAGTGGTGATATAGGACCCGAATCCTCTCACTAATAGCTCTTTTGTTATTTGAAGACACAGTGTGGCACTGTGGGCTAATGCATCAGACTGCAAAGTCATTTGCTACCCCTTGGAAGCCCTATACAGGGTTGCTATGGGTCAGAATTGACTCGATGGCACTTAACAACAACAACAATCCCTAGTGTTGGGTGGACATGGAGCAGGCTTAGTAGGTGACTGAGTAGGAGAAAGCCCATCATGTCAGGGCCAAGCAACCCTGCCAGCCCTACCCCAGCCTTCTTGAGTCCAATTGGAAGGTTCTTCCTGTGGCACAGTGACTTACTAGGACCCTGTGGAGGGATGCACATGGAACCCATTAAAGAAGGAAGGCATTACTCCTTTGTCCTTAATCAGTCGGAGACAAGTTGGGATCTGGTACTAAATTTGTAACTAAAACTCAAGAGGGAGTACAGTTCAATGGATCTTCCCATTTTTTGGTTCAGATCATTGTATTGTGGTTTTCCTCTGTCTTCCTGGGTGAATTTCTGCAGTAGCATTAAAGGAATCATGCAAGAACTTGGCTTTACTATTCCAAAGCCACACTATCAAAGTACCCAGATGTGTATGAAACTTATGAGTAAAATCATATTTAAATGAGCCTGAAGAAGTGTCCCATGAAGTGGAAACTCGGTGGTACCTTTGAAAGTTCAGTTCATCTTATTAGAACCATGACCTAATAGAATTTGAGTATTGGTATGCATTGTTTCCTAAATACATTTCAAGTCACATCTTTATTACAGTGATGCTTCCATTTGAGAGTCATAAGCAGAGATGGTCTGGAAGAAACAAAGCAGTTATCAAAACTTGAGCTCATATTATACCAAAATGTCCTTACTTTTCACATAGAAACAGTTATATCTGAGGTACCTGTTTAACTCCCAAAAAAGTCCAACTCCTCCAGGTTGTGATAACTCCTGGCTATGGTGGTCGAGCTTTATCTACTCTTATGTTTTTGCAGTGTTTGTGTGTATCTCCACATGTCCCCCAAGTTAATGATAAACTTAAGGAGTTAGACCTGCTTGGGAGCTCTTTCCCTCCATTTCCACATGAGCATACTGCTGATAAGCTTCTTCTCCCTTCCACTTTTGAAATCTAATTGCAGCTTTAACACTAAGGAGTGTTCTCCAGAAATCATTGTTTCTGCCTTAGGGTCAGGAAGATTAAAGACCAGGATTTCTATTATCAGTCAGCCTGCTTTAGAGGTAATGCAGTTGATATAGAGGTAGAGAATTAGGGACAGATAGACGATAAATAACAAAGTACTACTTTGCTAGTGGTTACCAATTAGGCTGCTAACTCAAGGTCAGCAGTTCAGAACTACCAACTGTTCCACGGGAGAAAGATGAGGTTTTCTGCCCCTGTAAAGATTTACGACCTTGGAAATACTATACAGGGTCGCTGTGAGTCAGAACCAACTCCACGGCATGTAACCACCACCACCTCTTTGCTAGTGTGAGCCTTTGTGGCACTCTAGGATTAGCACTGCACTTCTAACCACAATATCAGCAGTTCAAACCCACCAGCCACTCCTCAGAACCCCTATACAGGGTCACTATGAGACAGAACCCACTTGACAGTACTTAACAACAACAACAACAACAACAACAACTCTGCTAGAGTATTAAACAATAGGCAATGACTTTGGTTTGGCAAGATGGATCAGTTTTCTGAAGTGAAGCAAGTTCATCTAGCCCAAAGCTTCCCTAGGCTTTCCTTTCAGAACATACCTCCTGTAATTAAATATTTTAAATATATTATCAATGATTGGACTAGAAGAACAGACGTGACAATAGTAGCTTTTATGTTCTTTGTAGTTTAAGTTTAAGAACACCATTCAAGTATTTGTTTGAAGACATTTTTATTCATCGAATTTATAAACAGACTTTGGATGGAGATAAGGGAGGGGAGGAGCAGTGTCAAGCAAGGATTCAAGTCCCAGCTGCTCCTTTTCATTGATAGTCACCAGTAACAATCTCCAACGCCCATCCTTCTTACAGATGAAATGAAGTAGTGCTATGTGAAATGTACAGTGTGGCTCACAGCCTTTCACAGATGCAGTGTAAATGTCAACAAGTGACATATATTGTGTCTGTTTTTCATAAGTGGAAAATCGGGGAGTAACTGGTAATGTCATTCCTTGTTTTGCTTCATGAAACTCATTGTTGCTATTAAGATGATTTTTATTAAGGAGCTGAAAGAACAAGAGTCCATGGCCATTATTAACCCATGTATCCATATGCAGTAGTTGTGGGTGTCAGAGCTGTTCAGGCCACACCAAACAACTTGGCCAGAGTTCCAGGGAGTAGGCCTGGGCGCTTGAGTCTCACAGTTGTTGACCAGCCCTGGCTAAGAAACACAGTGTTTATTACTTACTTCCTGATAAGGGCCATGCCGATAAGCTTTGGAACATTGTTTAGTAACCATTAGAACATTATTGATATTATTTTTTGTTGCCATGGAGTCTGCTCCTAGCAATGGTGACTCCGTGTACAACAGAGCGAGACACTGCCTGGCTCTGTGCCATCTACATGATTACTGGGAGACTTGAGTCCATTGTTGCGGCCATGTGTATATTGAGTGCCTTCAACCTAGCGAGTTCATCTTCAAACACTACAGGGGATGCTATTCTGTTGTGACTCATTGGGTTTATCTGCAAATTTTTGAAGTAGACCACCAGGCCTTTCTTCTTAGGCTGCTGAAATCTTTCCACCTTGGGTAGCACTGTTGATATTTGAAATACTGATTCCAGGATCACAGAAATTTGTAAGCTAGAACAGTACAACAAACTGACGGATGGTTAGTAGGTTGGTATTCTTAACTTGTAGCAATTGGCAAATTAGGACAGTCTGGGTGTGGGCTTTGCATTGTGGCCTTACTGTTTGATGTAAGTACCTCAGCAGCACATCACTGCCCAGGGTTGGCAGTCAGTGAATGATGGGCTGCCAGCCAGCACCCGTGTTCGTGGTCAGACACTCAGGTGGTATACCTGGGAAACATACACTCCACCGATTTCTATCAAGTCAGTTCTGATGCATACCGACCCAATATAGGGTTTCCAAAGCTGTAAATCTCTACGATAGTAGAAAGCTTCCTTTTTGTACAGAGTGCTGGTAGATTGGAACTGCTGACCATAAGCTTAGCAGCCAAAGTCATAACCCACTATGTCACCAAAGAAACAGAATGGTGACCCAAAATTATCCCCATGTGAATACACTTACTAAGAAAGAGATCAGAAGAAAGGACCTATGAAGGGACTTCAAAAAAGTCTGTGAGTCAGTTCATTACCTATTCGTTCCATTTTTTCATGAACTTTTGGAACTCCCTCATATGTTTCTGTGAAAGATTTGCACTAAAGTGAGTAAATTCATAAAAAAAGAGAGGTCAGCTGTAAGTACAAAAACTTTATGCAAGACAAATGTACATGAAGTTGTAAATGGAAATGTTTGTTATTTAGGATAATCTGAAGAGAGCTAGTTGTACAGTGGTAAAGTGCTCCATTGTAACGAAAAAAGGTCTGTGGTTTGAACCCAGCAGCCATTCCATGGAAGAAAGGTGTGGCCATCACAGCTTTGGAAACCCTATAAGACAGCTTTATGTCCTATGGCTTCAATATGAATTGGAATCAGCAGCAGCAGTTGGTTTTGTTTTGTTTTGTAATAATATAAATGATCACTCCCCTCTTTTACCCAAACCCGCAACGTCAAGTTGATTCAGACTCATAGGATCCTCTATAAGGTTTCTGAGACTGTTAAACCTTTATGGGAACAGACAGCTTCATCTTTCTCCTGTGGAGCAGCTTTTGGGTTTGAATTGCCAACTGTGCACTTAGCAACTCAATGCCTACCCAACAGTGGCAAGCAACAAGAATGGTCCAAAGTGGAAAACATGACATTTTTTGACATTCAAAAAAAGGTAGTTAATTGTTTATTAGTATTGAAAATGTTAAGATATTCTGGTACAATTCATTCATGAGTGTAACCTGTTTATTCCTTCCTTCTTTCCTTCCGTAATTTACTCTATCTTTGCTTAACTCGCCAGAAACAAAGTGCAGTCATTCCTAATAACTGTGCTCTGTGTGTTTGTTTATTTTTTCAGCCATGCAATGATAGACCTACTGGTTGAACTTTGCCTTCAGAACCACCTGAATCCATCCCACCATGCACTTGAGATCCGGTCTTTGGAAACCCAACAACCTTTGAGTTTTAAGCCAAACACCTTGGTTGGGACCCTAAATGTACACACCGTGTTTCTGAAAGAAAAAGTTCCTGAAGAGAAGCCTAAACCTGGGCCACCAAAGGTGCCTGAGGTCAGTAGTATGGGAGCCCTTTGTAGAGATATTAATGTCTAAGTAATGCCTGCAGACATCTGTGCTTGAGTTTCTCCTTCTCTGTTTTGCAGAGTTAGACACTGAACTGAGTTTAAGAGTTGAATGCTTGTTGTTGTAGCAGTGCTTCTTTAGATATTATAGGAGAGAATTAGTCTAGAGCAGCTCTCCTTGAGGACTATCTGTAATGGTAAAACTGTCCTGCTTCTCTGTACTGTCCACTACAACAGCCACTGGCCATAAGTAGCTGTCAAGCACTTGAAATTTGAGTGGTGCTATTAAGAAACTGAATTCTTTTATTGTACTGAAATTTCAATAGCTACAAGTAGCTAGTGTCTATCCTATTAGATGAAGTCCTGGTGTGGTGCTGTGGGCTAATGCGCCATACTGCAAGGTTGGGTTGAACCGCAAGGTAGGGAGTTATTGGGAGACTTGAGTCGAAACCCTGTACAGAGTCCCTATGAATGAGGACATACTCGATGGCACTTAACAACAATGACCCTATTAGAAAGTACAGTTCTAAAGGTCATTATGTTACAGGAAGCAGGGGGGATAGGCAGAGAATTAGATCAACTCCCTATAGAGAAGGAAAAAAAGAACTGGAAATTTCCTTAATAAAATGTTATGTCTGTAATTGTTCTTGTTGGTAAGTGCTGTCAAGTTAGTTCCAACTCATAGCAACCCTGTATAGAGTTTCCAAGGAGTGGCTGGTGAGCTTGAATCGCCAACCTTGCAATTCAAACAGACCTTTCAATACAGCACATTAGCCCACGGTACCATACCAGGACTGCATGTCTATAATTAAGGGCATGTTGTTGTTGTTGTTGTGTGCCATGGAGTCGGTTCCAACTCATAGCGACCCTGGACAGGGTTTCCGGGGTTGTAAATCTTTAAAGGAGTAGAAAGCCTCATCTTACTCCCACGGAACAGCTGGTAGTTTTGAACTGCTGACCCTGAGATTAGCAGCCTGATTTGTAACCACTACACTACCAGAGCTCCAAATATATAGCTTTAATTGGCATATAAAACCAACAGCCAATCTCAGTCTCAATGGTGAAAAACAAAAGCTATTCCCCTTGCAAACAGGACCCAGACAAGGATGCTCTTCATCACCATTCCTACTGAGCATTGTGCTGGAAGTCTTAGCCAGAGCTATAAGGCAAGAAAGAGAAATTGAAGGTATCAAAATTGGCAAAGAAGCAGTAATACTCTCTTTATCATCAGATGATATGTCCAAAATATTTCTTAAGAGAATTATTTTAAATCATAGATATATTTGGTAAAATGGCAGGGTACAAGATCAACATACAAGTATCAGTCAGATCCCTTTCCATTAATAAAGGGAGCTCTGAAAGTAAACCAGGAAAACAATACTGTATACATTATCCACCCAACAGATGAAATAAATGGGAATAAATCTAACCAGAGAAACAAAAGATCTATAAAAGAAAACAACAGAACACTACCACAAGATGCCAGAAGAAACCTGCAGAAATGGAAGAATATACCCTGCTTATGGATAGGAAGGCTTAGTATTGTGAAAATGTCAACACTACCCAAAGCAATCTACAGATATAATACAATCCCAATACAGGTTCCAACATCACTCTTTAACAAGATGGAAAAATGTATCACTAACTTTATATGGTAAAGAAAGGGACACCTGGATAAGTAGGGCATTATTTAAAAAGAAGAACAAAGTAGGAGGTTTCCTACATCTTTATCTTAAACCCTACTACACAGCCACAGTGGTCAAAACAGCCTGGAACTGGTACAATGAAAGACACATAGACTAATGGAACAGAATTGAGACCCCCAGAAGGAAGTCCACCCACCTGTGGTCAGTTGGTGTTTGACAAAGGGTCAAAATATATTAAATGAGGAAGAGATATTCTCTTCAGCAAATCGTGCTGGCAGAATTGGGAATTCATTTTCAAAAAACTGAAACAAAATTCATATCTCACACTATATATAAAAGTGAACACAACTTGGATTAAAAGCCTAATTGTAAAGCCTAGAACTATAAAGCTCATCAGTGAAAAACTAGGGCTCTGATATATGGCATAAATACACTATCAATCATAACTTAAAGCATGCAAACAGAAGACAAAATAGACTACAGGACCTCCTAAAAGTTAGACACTTATGTGCATCAAAGGATTTCACCAAAAGACTGAAAAGAGAATCCACAAACTTCGGGGGGAAAAAATTGGTAAATTATATTGGCATATAAGATAAAGGACTATTCTCAGAAATTTGTAGAATACTTCAATGCATCAACAAGAAGACTGATAATCCAACTCAAAATTGAGCAGAGGACATGAAAATACACTTCATCAAAGAAGACATTCAGGCAGCCAACAAACATATGAAGAAATGCTCATAATCATTAGCCATTAGAGATGCAAATCAGAACAATGAGATATCATCTTACTCATGCATTAATAGCGAAGTTCCCAAAAACAGAAAACAGCAAATGCTGGCGAGGGTGTGGAGAGACTTGGACCCTTCTACGCTGCTGGTACAAGTGTAAAATGGTGCAGCCACTGTGGAAAATGATAAGGAACATTCTAAAAGAGTTGGAAATAGAAATACCACATGATTCATAATCCCTCTACTTGGTACATATCCTCAAGAAATAAGAGCTGTAACACAAATAGACATTCTGCACACAGATGTTCTTCACAGCCCTATTCACAACAGCAAACAGATGGAGACAGCTTAAATGCCCAACAATAGGAGAATGGTTAAACAAACTTTGGTACATACACACAGTGGAATACTATGCAACGTTGAAGAACAAGGATGAATTTGCAAAACACCTCACAACATGGATAAACTTGGAGAATATTATACTGATTGAAATTAGTCAATCACAAATGGCCAAAGATTGTATGATACCATTGTTGCAAAAATAGTTAAGTACAGATTATCTTGCTAAATGAAACATTTTACATTGGTTACCCGAGGGAGGCAGGATGGAACAATTCACATGTTAACATGGATGGTGGGACAGGCAATATTCAACAAGAGGGAGGTTGGCATAAGAAAGTTGAAGGTAGCAGGGAGACACAGGGAAGAGTGTAAGAGTTCAAGGAAACAGAGGTCACTGTTAACTGGTGCTACATGGAAGGGATTGTAATCATTGTAATGAAGCAAAGTATTGGATTTGTTGAATGTAAAACTAATGATCTGCTCTGTAAACCTTCACTCAATTCACAATAAAAAGGTATAAATTAATAAATAAAAATAAAATGTTATGTCTAAAATAGTTCCTCTTTGCAGTTGGGGACTATCTTCACATATACATAGCTTAATTGCAGGCTTTTGTTTACCAATTGAAATTAACACCAGCTGCTTATTAGACTTTTAATAAGGCTTTTATGTGAATCCTCTAACTTTACATTGAAAAAAAATAGCATTTCATTCTTTTAGATTATTAGAAGATTTGCTACATTTTCTTCTTTTAAAAATGCCAACATGGCCAGCTGCATTATCTCCTGCGAGTGTTCTAAGTTTGGAGTCACATTGAATCGGGTGACTAATAGATTTTATTTGGTGTCCTTCTGTACTCAGGAGATTTCTCCAAATTCTTCTAGTAAAATGAATATTGAAAAGCAGAGGAACAGGTTTATGATCTCTGGCTTATTTCCCTAGTTCCCAGGCATAGATCCTCGGGGTAGCGAAGTATTATTGTTGTTGTTGTTGTTATGTGCCATGGAGTCGGTTCCAACTCATAGCAACCCTGTATAGGGTTTCCGAGGCTGTAAACCTTTATGGGAGCAGAAAGCCTCATCTTTCTCCCACAAAACAGCTGGTAGTTTCGAACTGCTGACCTTGTGGTTCACAGCCCAATTCGTAACCACTACATTACCAGAGCTTGGATTCCGGTGTAAGAAGTAGGGCAATGTCTGCCTCTCACAGCCCCTCATCATGGTCACTGAGGCCTCAGAACAGGAGGGAGCATGAATCAGTGTATGTTTGCTGTGTCTGTCTTTCCTGGATGTTTGCATAATGCAGGTAATCATAAAGAAAGAAAATAGTGGACTGGATGAAACGTTAGCATATTACATATTTTTGATGGGCCACTTTATATGTGGTCACCTAAAATGAACTCTGGTCAAATTCTTTTTTTGTATGTAATTATTATTTTAATCATATAAAAACTAAAATCATTTCTATGTTTTCTAGCTTAAAGTGTATGTACTTTGTGTATAATAGGATTCCTAGTGTGGCATTGTGGAATAAGAACTAAACTACAAGGTTGGTGGTTTAAACCTACCAGCTATTCCTTGGAAACCCTATACAGGGTTGCTGGGAGTTGGAACCAACTCAGTGACACTTAACAACACCAACATGTATTTTTAAATAAGGGTTTGTAAACATACACAAGTACACACTATATACGATATATCGTTTTGTTGTTAAGTGCCGTCAAGTCGTTTCTGGCCAATAGCGACCCAGTATAGGGTTTCCAAAGGAGCTCTGGTAGCATAGTGGTTACGAATCGGGCTGCGAACCTTAAGGTCAGCGGTTCGAAACTACCAGCTGCTCCACGGGAGAAAGATGAGGCTTTCTACTCCCGTAAAGATTTACACCCTCGGAAACCCTGTACAGGGTCGCTATGGGTCGGAACCGACTCGATGGCACATAACAACAACAATAGGGTTTCCAAGGAACAGCTGGTGAGCTTGAGACACCTACCTTGCAGTTCAAATGACTTTGTTGTCTGACACATTAGCCCACAACACCACACCAGGACTCCTCCTATATAATATATATACATGTTTACATGTTATTAAGTTCCTTCAAGTCAGTTCCAACCCATAGCTACCCTGAATAGGGTTTCTGATGAGCAGCTGGTGAGTTTGAACTGCTGACTTTGTGATTCAAACTGACTTTGCAGTCTAGCTCATTAACCCACATCACAGCAGGATACCAGGACTTCTACATATATAGACACACATTTCTATAGATATAAATTTATCAAACAATTTCTTGTTTGATAAGGGTTTTAATTAATAGAAATGGCCAATGAATACATAGGAAGATACTCAAGGTTATTAACTATTACAGAGATACACATCAAAGCCATGAGATACCATTTTTCACCCACTAGAAGGGACTCCTGTTGTGGCATTGTAGGATAAGTACTAGACTGCTAACCACAAGGTCAGCAGTTCAAACTCACCAGCTGCTCCTTGGAAATCCTGTACAGGGTCTACGAGTCAGCACCATCTCCACATCACTCAACAACAACAACAACAACAACAACAAGAATGGCTGTGATTTAAAATGGAAAAAAAAAAAAATGTGTTGACAAGGTTTTTTATGACGATATTGAAAATGATCCAGTCACTATGAAAAAGTTTGGTGGGTTCCTTTAAAAGTTAAACGTCAAATTGCTACATGATCTTGGAAACCTACTTCTAGGTGGGTTTCCCAAAGATTTGAAAGCAGGAATGCAAAAGGATGTTTATGTTCCACTATTCACTGCAGCACTGGTCACAGTAGCCAAAAAGTGGAAACAGCTTGACATGCCGTCCACAGATGAATGGATAAAGAAAATGTGTTGCATAGAGATAGTGGAATATAACTCCAGCCACAAAGAGAAAGGAGTTCTGATATATGGCACCCCATGAATAGACCTTGACAGAACTACAGTGAGTGAAATTAGTCAGTTACAGATGGACAAGTTGATGAGTCCACTGTTATGAAAGATCTACAATAGACAAGTGTATAGATATCAAAGTTTATTATTAGTGGTTACCAGACACAGGTAGGAAGAAGGGGGAAAAGGAGGTGGTCTCACTGCTTTAGAGATGCTGATAAGTATCTCTAAGCAGTTCCTAAGGGTGATAGGAAAGCTTGAAAATGTATCAAAGTAATGGATGGACAGCTTTACAAACATAACTAATGCTATTGAATTGTCCTGCTGAAAAGTGTTAAAAAGCAAGCTGTTATTATATTTACCACAATCCAAGTACATTTTAAAAGTTATTAACAATATTTCTCAACTGTTTTCCTTTAGAAGATATATGTGTATCTAATCAGAATCATTGAAAGATTGTATATGATAATTTAGAGCCCTTGAAAAAAGTCAGATGGTTTTCACTACTTATAGCCCATAACTCACCAGGCCTGTGGAAGAAATGATCTACTTATTAAAACAGAAGTTGAAGCCACTGTGGGAAGATGTACTTACAGCATTCTTTTTGTTTGTTGTGCTCTTCCAGAAATCTGTGCGTTTGGTCGTAAATTACCTGAGAACACAGAAAGCTGTTGTACGTGTGAGCCCTGAGGTACCTCTCCAGAATATTCTGCCAGTCATTTGTGCAAAATGTGAAGTCAGCCCAGAACATGTCATTCTCCTCCGGGATAACATTGCTGGGGAGGAGCTGGAGCTGTCCAAGTCCCTGAATGAGTTGGGGATAAAGGAACTCTACGCATGGGACAATAAGAGAGGTGAGACCACATTATGCCATATGTCCTATCAAGAATGTAGAGAAAACATACACATGTGACCTGTTAACTCTCATTCTAACTCTATAATGCTAAGTAGTGATGTGTACATTGAGTCTCCAGGCAATTCACATTGTGTCCAAAGTAGAGTTTCAGTGGGCCAAAATTAAACTTGGCTTGTTTTAACTCCTCCTCAATTATGAATACACCTCTTTTATCCCAGCCTTGAATGGGGGTTTTCATTGTCTGTGTTCATTGGTGAGATAAATGAAAGAGGGAGAAAACTGTGAGAGGAGAATTAGAAGAATTGCTCAAAACCACATACAATATTTTCTGGGCTTTCGTTTTACATTACCATTAACTACTTCCATTTTAAACATTGCTCAGAGTCAAAGCAAGTGGCAAAAATGCATTTAGCTATTCATTAACACTGATAAAATTAGTGATCAACACCACATTAGGCTTCCTTACTGTTGTTGCTGGAGACATCTAATTCATCACCTGAGTTTTATAGTAAATATTGACATCACAATCCCAGTCACAGATGAGAGCAGCAAGCCCCAGACGGTAAATGCTGGTACAGAACTGAATGTACTGTGTATGCAGAATTTTCTTATTGATATATGGGTTGGCTAGATGTATATTGAAACAAATGCCTGATTAATAAAAAGACTCCTAACATTTCTTGCCCATAGAATTATTAAAATAGGCTACTTAAAACTTCTATTTAATTGACATTAAGCGTCTCACTTAATATCTGTTACCTCACTTTTACTTATTCCACAAATAAGAATCAGTTAAGCTTTAAATATACTAAGTAAAGTGTCTCTACACCCTTTCCTCAAAGTCTTCTAATTAAAAAAAAAAAAGGCTTCTCTATCACCTAGCTTAAATACTTTAAACATCTGAAATAGAATAGGGTGAAAATGTAGTTTTCTTATTACCACATTTACAAGTAGAGCCTCTGTCCACCTCCCCCAAACTCCTCAAAATCAACCTGTCTCTTCCTGGGTCCTTGATCTTACTTGATAATCAAAAGAGGGATTGAGCTCAATCAGTTTCAATGAACATAGACTGTTTATTCCTTGGGAACTGACAAGCGTTCTGACGTTTGAAAACAATGAACCCTATGTTTTAATCCAGTACCTTTTTAAGACTCAGACAAGAATCCCCTCAGCATTCCCTGCCTTGACCTGGTTGTAGCTAGGTGTTTCTGGTTATATCAGCTCTATTTAAATTGAATTGACATAACTCTTTGGAAATAGAACTCTCATTCGGCAAGACAGAAACACAACTGTCCTACATTCAAGTATCTGAATGAAAAAGGCTTGCACAAACACGTATTTCAGTCATATGCCAACCATTCTGATGTATCTTTAAAAAGTAGTTTCAGAAACTACTAAGTGGAAAAAGCCACATTCAGACTTTGAGATAATCCTGAACACAGAGGAACATAGCTGAATCCTGTTGCTACTGCCTTGGCCCTCTGGCCCTTCCTGGGACCCCGTCCAAAAGCCAATTGCTATTGAGTTGACTCTGACTTGTGTCTACTCCATATGTGCCTGAGTAGAACTGCTCCATAGGGTTTCATTGGCTGAATTCTGGCTGTAGATTGCCAAACCTTTCATATGAGGCGTCTCTGGTGGACCTGTATTGTCAATCTTTTGGTTAATTTCTACCACCCATGGACCTCATTGATCTCTCCAAAGTTGGGATGGAAGGCACCAGGGCCTTACATACAATGCCTGTGCCTTACTGGTTGTGAGATACTATGATTATAATCTCGGTCAAAAGCCTTCATGTCTTGGTATTAACAGTCAAACCATCCCGAGGCTGTCCCTGATGATCACTTACTCTTTAGCAGCTAACCTTGACATGAAAGCCCTGGAGAAGCCCTTTCCTCTGTCCCTTTTGTTTGTTTCTTGTGTATGTGTGTATCTCATTCCTAGCCCTGCAGCTCCTGGAGAAAGGGTAAGAACCAACTACAGGAAAGTATGTGCTGTTCAGCCTCTGCCTTCGGAGGCCTGCCCTCCTCTGGAATTCCTGGCAGTAGCAGCTAGAATAGGCAGCTTTGCTGCCACCTGCTTCTGATGTGACTCTGAGCAGCTATAGAGTGCTTGAAATCCAGGCTCCATACCTACCTCAGGTTACCCCTGGTACAATGGATTGACCTGGGCTGAGTAGAGGAATGGGCCATGGACAGGGGCAGCTGCAGATCCTGAAGCTTGTCCTCATTTTTCCCCCTGCCTGACTTTTTCAGTTCTTCTGACCAAAGCTCAGTCCGAGCCCTCTCTGAGCTGCCAAGGTACAGTCAGCCCCTCCCTGGGGCTCCAGGCTGCTCTCTGCATGGCTTTGAATAGATAATGCATAGGGGACTCTTATGTGTGTTTGAAGAATGCGAGTGTGGCTGTGGTACCACGGGGGCGTTTTGTTGTGCTGGAGCAAGGTTACAATTTAGTGTTTGTTACGAGAATAATAACTGCAGTTGGAGAATGTAATTTATGAAGAAGGCTGTCATACAGAACGTCATCTGTACACAGAATTTCAGAGAAGAGTATCAGTGCTACAAGTAGAAAAGATACTCACTTGTGATTACCTGCCATCTTCTACCCCTGAGTTCCATCTTGCATGCCACAGAATTTGGAGCCCTACGGGTTTTTAAATTTAAATTATTGTGTGTGTATGTCATCGACAAGTATGCAAATGATTAGTCCCAATTTTGCATTTGTCCTGATACTTGTTACCAATTACATGCACACACACATTCAAAAAGATTAATTAAAATCACCATGAGTATATATTTGTATGTTACAGACACTTATGTTCATGTTTGCTAAAATATTTAACAATAGATTTGATTTCTGATAAACATAAATGAATGAAACAAAAGCTTAGCATTAGTCTGAGAATCACAGTTTGTGAAAGTAGAGAATGAAAGAGCGTTAGCCTGTACCAGGCTTACTATTGTTGTTGTAAAGTGTCATCGAGTCAGTTCCCATCCGGAGCAAACCTGTATAGGGCTTCCAAGGGGCAGCTAGTGAACCTGAACCACTGATCTTGTACGTCAAAGAGACTTTGCAGCATAGTGCCGTAACCCACAGCGCCGCGCCAGAACTCCAGGTTTACTATGAGGGACTTCAGAACCTTTGTGGGAAAATGGAATTAAAAATTAATGGAATTTTCCACTAATTTTTAGAAGTCCCTTTGTATTCTTTATCTGTTGTGTATCTCCATCGTACATTTGTTGTTGTTGCTAAGTGCCTTTGACTTGGTTCTGACTCATAGTGCCCCTGTATAGGGTTACAGAGGAGCTGCTGGTGGGTTTGAACCCCCATCTTGTGATTCAATTTGACCTTGCAGTCTAGTGCTTATCCTAAAGCACCACACCAGGACTCCCCATCTTATATAATTGTTATTGTTGCTAAATCCTATTGAGTTGGTTCTGACTAATATCCACCTTTATAAGGTTTCCAAGTGGTGGTTGATGGGTTTGAACCACCCACGTTGTGGTTTAAACCGACATTGGGGTCCAGTGCTTATCCTACAGCACCACACCAGGACTCCCCATCTGACATTAGAAATGAGTAATCAAAAGATAAACCCCATAAGTGGACACTTATTTTGAAGTAAAACTGAGATATGTGAAGATTTTATCAGTTCTGGTTGCATGCTTGTCTTAATAAATAAGAACTGGACTGCTAAATGCCAGGTTGCTGGTTCAAACCCAGCAGGCACTATTTAGGGTCACTATGAGTCAGAACTGACTTGACAGTATTTAACAATATCATTTGGGGAACAATCTTAGATAGGGAGAAAATGAATCAAGTAGTAATTATTTATTACCACTTTGTTAATGCACTGGACTGCAAAGTCAGTTTGAACCTCAAGATCGGAGGTTTACGTTCACCAGCCGCTCCTCAGAAACCCTATATAGGGTTGCTGTGGATTGGAACTGACTCGACTGCACTTAGCAACAACAATAACATATCCTCTAGTGATGGTGATCAGGCTGTAGAAACTTGTATATTATGTGCAAAAATCTCATACCAAGAAATGAAATGTAGACCTGTTTCTCCTCTTCCGTTTCCTTGCTTCATTACCTTATTCTAGTCTGATGGATTCTCAGTTTTTGCATCTGAAAAATTGATCTGTAAGGGTTCCATCATCTCCCTCCATGCCCCATGATCCATCTCGATCCGTTTCACAGCCATTGTAATGTTTCAAAACAGTATATGTTTCCTTATGAATTAGATATTGCTCCCCAAACTTACATTAATATTTAATTTTCAGTAGGTTTGATTAAATTTAAAAAAATACATTTTGTGCTCAGATTATCATGGAATTGGAATTGTGGACTATAGACAATAATTTCATGAGTTCTCCAAGCCTGAGAGGTATACATTATTAATTACACTCTGGATGTGTTACATCCTGTGGAAACTGCGGCTGACACAAACTGTAAGGAACCCTATCTCACTTGCTTGGTGCTTAAGCAGATCACTCTGTGTTGTTTTCTGAGTCTCAGAGGCCTCTGTCTGTTCAGAGCTGAAGCTTCATCTCTTAAAATAGACCAGCTGCTTAGGCTTTAGATCCTAGTTCATGATTCTGAACCCTAGCTTCTGCTACTGCTAAAGAGCTTCAGGTTTAGCACCATGAAAACGTGCCTTTTGGGCTAACGTCTGTCAGTTCTGTCCTTATGCCCTTCATTCCTGGGACTGACCTTACTTAGGCCTATGGGATGGAAGCAACAATGGTTCTGAGAGGTTCAATTCGGTTTTAATTTTCCGATTTTGTTTATTATTTTTGTGGCTGATGCAAAAGCCTGTGTTCCAGTAACGTATTTTATCCCTTGTTCATATGTTGTTGTTGCTGTTAAGTGTCATCAAGTCGATTCCAACCCATAGCAACCCTGTATAGGGTTTCCAAGGAGCAGCTGGTGAGCTTTAAACCACCAACCTTGCAGTTCATAAGCCCACAGTACCAAGTAACATTGACTCAGTTCCAACTCATAGCAACATGGGTAGGGTCTCCGACGAGCAGCTGTGGAGTTTGAATTGTTGATCTTGCGGTTCAAACCAACCTTGTGGTCCAGTGGTTATCCGACAGCGCCATACCGGCACTCCATGTATCCATGTCCCATTTTGCTCAATTCTAGAAGCATTTTTCTGTCATAAATACACATACTAATCCATAATATAAATGATTACTCTCTGTATGGGTCTTAGTCCCATTTATAGAGACCGTGTATAGTTTCCTAAGAGCAGCTGTTAAACTTGAAATGCCGACTTTTCGGTTCAAACCAACTTTGCAATCTAGTGCTTATCCTACAGTGCCATACTAGGAACCAGGACTTATACTCATATATATATGTTGTTGTTATCAAGTGCCATTGAGTAAGTTCTGACTCATAGCAACCCTGTATAGGGTTTCCAAGAAATGACTGGTGAGCTTGAACTACTGACCTTGCAGTTCAAAATGTCTTTGCAGTCCAATGCATTAACCCCACACTGCTATATATATTTATTTCAACCTGTGCATTGCAATTGGATCTGGTCCTTTGATTTTGGCATGTCTGTTAGTTTCTGCTGGAGTTCTTTGCATGTCTCCACAAACCCCAACTCCAGTGACTAAAACGTAAACCTTTTGCTTCTTAAAAAATTACATAAAGAATAACATGTTTGATTTTTGCTGTGTTGCATTCATAGTGTAAGTGTTAATGCATGCTATATATTACTAATACACTGACTTTTACATTCTAACATGAATATGAAATTATTCCAGAACACTTAATGGTCCTCATGAGGAACCTGTACATAGACCAAGAAGCAGTTGTTAGAGTAGAACAAAGAGATACTGAATGATTTAAAATCAGGAAAGGTGTGTGGTACCAGGGTTGTATCTTTTCACCGTTCTTATTTAGTCTGTATGCTGAGCAAATAATCTGAGAAGCAGAATTATTCACAGAAGAATGTTCCATCAGGATTAGAGGAAGCGTCATTAACATCCTGAAATATGCAGATGATGCAATCTTACTTGCTGAAAGTGAAGAGAACTTAAAATACTTACTAATTAAGATCAAAGACTATAAGCTTTCAGTATAGGCTGCACCGCAATGTAAAGAAGACAAAAATCCTCACAACTGGACTAGTAAATAACATCATGATGCTTACAGAAAAGACTGAAGTTGTCAATGACTTCATTTTGCTTGAATCCACAATTAACACTCATAGAAACAGTAGTCAAGAAATTAAACTATGTATCGCATTAGGCAACTTTGCTGCACGAGACTTCTTTAGAGTGTTTATGAGTAAAGAAGCTGTCAGTTTGAAGACTGAGTTGTGCCTGACCAAAGCCATGGCATTTTCAGTTGCCTCATATGCTTGTGAAAGTTGGATGATGAATAAGGAAGACTTTAGAAAAATTGCTGTTTTGTATTAGGGTGTTTGTTGAGAAGAATATTAGAAGTGCCATGGACTGCCTGAAGAACAAACAAGTCTTGGAAGAAATACAGCCAGAATGCTCCTTGAAAGACAGAATGATAAGACTTTATCTCTCATACCTTGGACATATTGTCAGGAGGGACCAGGTGGTGGTGATGCTGGCAAGTTTTATGTCCTTCAGAAATACTTGAATGTTCCCTTCTCTTGTCATAATTGAATGCCTTGGAAGGGAAGAGCTGGATGGATTAATAACAAAGACCTAAAGTCCTGGTGTGGCACTATTGGATAAGGACTGGACTGCTAACCACAAGGACAGTGGTTCAAACCCACCAGCTGCTCCTCAGAAACCCTACATGGGATCACTATGAGTTGGAAGCAACTTGACAACAATAACAACAAAGTAAACTTTATCAGCAAATAAATTAATAATAATAATCAATAGTATGGTAGAGCTGTGTGTGTCATTTTCTGTCCCTCAATTAATTTGCACCATCAGAAAGTCATCTCCAATATGCATGTGAAGAAACAAAAGCTTAGGAAGGCTAAGCAAGGTAAAACTAAACAGGAGAAACTCATGGCCTGAGTGGATTCTGGCTCACAATGACCCTATAGGACACAGCAGAGCTGCTCCACTGGGATTTTGAGGCTGTAAATCTCTAGGGAAGGAGCTGTCTCGTATATCTCCTGAGCAGCAATTGATGAATTTGAATGACTGATGTTTCTATGAGCAGCCCAACACTTAACTTACTGCACCACAATTTGAAGTAAGCCTCAAACCTAGGTGTTCTTAACCACTATGCCAGTGGTTCTCAAAATGTGACCCCCCAGAGTGCAGCTTAAGCATCCTCAAGGAGCCTGCAAAACTATTGAGTGTTGGACCCCATTTTCAAAATTTTTTATTTGAAAGGACTGAAATAGACTCAAGGATTTACATTTTTACACAAGTTCCTTTTTGAACCTCTGTCTGCTCACACTTTGGGAGCCATGGCCCTTGGTTATGTTATAAACTACCTGACCAATCTGGGCTTCCATTTCTTTCCTGTAAAATAGTAAAACCCATCCTAACCATAAAATTCTAAAGAAAAAAGCACCAAGAAAGAAGAACCATTGCGGAGCTGCCAGAAACTCAAGGGAGAGTCAAAAGAGGATGTGTGAGGAGGGTTGTCATTATTGATATGAAATGGATCTTGACTGAAAGCAGAGATGGTCAGAAAGATGTTTGCTTGTGCTTTATTGACTACGCAAAAGCTTTCAACTGTGTGAATCACAACAATTATGAATAACATTTCAAAGAATGGAAATTCCAGAACATTTCATTGTTCATATGAAGAACCTGTACATAGGCCAAGAGGCCATTGTTAGAACAGAATAAGGGGATACTGAATGGTTTAAAATCAGGATATATTTATGTTAACATAGTATCCCTTCACCATATTTATTCAATCTATGTGCTGAGCAAATAATTTGAGAAGCTGGATTATATGAAGAAGAACATGACATCAGAATTCTAGGAAGAGTTAACAATAACCTGTGATATGCAGAGGATTCAACCTTGCTTGCTGAAAGCCAAAAGAACTTGAACATCAAAGATTAAAGACTATAGCCTTCAGTATGGATTGCACCTCAATGTTAAGAAAACAAAAATCTTCAAAAATGGACCAATAATAACATCGTGATAAATGGAGAAAATATTGAAGTTATCAGAGATTCATTTTACAATCATCACTAATGCAAACCGCAGTCAAGAAATCAAAAGATGTATTGCTGTAGGCAAATCTGCTGCAAGAGACCTCTTTAAAGTGTTAAAAATTGCAAAGATGTCACTTTGAGGATTAGATGTGTTTGATCCTAGCTTTAGTATTTTCAATTCCTTCATATACATGCCAGAGCCGGACAGTGAAAAAGGAAAACTATAGCAGAATCTCGGCCTTTGATTTTTGGTGCTGGTGAAGATATTGACAAAAGAACAAGCAAATCTGCCTTGGAAGTACAACCCGATTGTTCTGTAGAAGTGAGAATGGCAAGACATAATCTCTTGTATTTTAGGCATGTTGTCAGGAAGGACCAGTCCCCAAAGATACATCATGTTTGGTAACATGGAGGGTCAGCGAAAAAGAGACAGACACTCAAGGAGATGGGTTGACACAGTGGTAACAACAGTTAGCTCCGACACAACAATTATGAGGAGAGCACAGGACTGGCAGAGTTCTGTCTTGTTGTTCACAGAGTTGTCATGAGTTGGAACTGCCTCAGCGGCATCTACCAACAACTAAAACATTTTAAATTCCATTGGCTAATGCTGCCCTAGAACTTTTATTTCTTTTCTTTTTTCATTTTGATACAAGGCCCGGCCTTATCCACGATGTTGTTGTTACATGTTGTCAAGTCAGTTCTGATTCATAGGTACCCTGTGTAGTGTTTCCAAGGAGCAGGTGGATTTGAACTACTAGTCTTGTGGTTAGCAGTCACTATGGATTGCATCTCAATGTTAAGAAAACAAAAATCTTCAGAAATGGACCAATAAATATCATCATGACAAATAGAGAAAATAGTGAAATTCTCATCAGAACTCTGTAATCTTCTACATAGAAAATATCAATGCAATCATTAAAAAATTCTAAGAACCTTTAGAGATTTCCTAAATGGGCCTAAAGATTTTGAGATGCTTGAAAAACTTCAAAAGAAATAATTTTAACAGCAGTTTTCTTTTCTTATAACAACTAAACGTGTAAGAGAAGAGAGCTTCTTCCTTGAGTTTTTAAAATGATATATATAATCTCTTGTTTCAAACACTGAAAGATAACTTAGTACTTTGTTGTTTCATTTTCCAGAAACCTCTAGAAAATCATCACTTGGAGATGATGAAACAGATAAGGAGAAGAAAAAATTCCTGGGATTCTTCAAAGTTAATAAACGAAGCAATAGTAAGGTACTGGATTAAATAAACATAGGCTTGTGCATTAAGTAAAAGCAATCTCTTGAAATATCTATACTTAACCTCTCTGGGAATTCTTCAAAATAATTCTATTTAGGAATATTAATTCCTTGAGGTAAAAGGAAGCCTGTTAGTATACACTGAAATGAATACGTTGTGTTTCCAAACTTGATCCCTTAAGCAGTGATCTTGGGTGATAGTGTCTTATTTGCCGTTAGATTACAAAGCCTGTGCACTTCTGAAGGGCCCGAGCCACAAAGCCTTCTTTGGGCTGGCACAGACTCATGACCTGGCAAGTGGTTAAAGCTCAGTGAATATTCCCCTGGCATCCATGAATGAATGAATGCACTTGTCAAGCAAGTGACATTTGTAACCCCCTCCAGGGAAGGAGTACTGTCACCTGGCGCACAGTAATCTACATACCTCACATACAGGCACAGGTTCCAGCCACTCTCTGCTCATCTGGAGAAGACACAGAGCAATGCCTGCTGTATTAGTGGGCATGATGAACAGAGATGGTCTGCATGCAGCTCTCTGCTGGAAACAGATATAAAAATGGTATTGGCCAGGTGCCATATAACTCACACATTTAGCTAAGCACTTTCTGAGATTGTTGACATCTCAGGGAAAAAGGAGAGGGAGGTGTTGATAGGCCACTGTCTGCTATAGTATGTGTTTTGGATCAAGATGCCCTGGAAAAGGGAGTCAGCTCACACTCTCAGCCCATCCAGGAAAGTCAGGCTGATACATCTGGTCCTAAGCATAAAGTTTACTTTTGGGTCACAGGGAAAGGTGACAGGTTTCACTTGGACTACTCCCTTTACACAGCGTGTTGTAGCTAAGTTTATATAAAATAAGAAGTATCCCTATAAATGGAGTCCTGGTGTGGCACTGTGGGTTAATGCACCAGACTGCAAAGCCATTTGAACTGCAAGGTTGGCAGTTCAAGCTCACCCACCGCTCCTTGAAAACCCTATACAGGGTCACTGTGGGTCAGAACTGACTTGACAGCACTTAACAACAACATCCCTGTAAATAAGGAGCTTTGGTAATGTAGTGGATTACGAGCTGAGCTGCTAGCCAAAAAGTCAGCAGTTTGAATCTATCAGCTGCTTCATGGGAGAAAGATGAGGCTTTCTATTCCTATAAAGATTTACAGCCTCAGAAACCATATACAGGGTCGCTATGAGTCAGAACTGACTCCACAGCACACAACCCCCACCGCTGCTGCCGCCATTCTATAAATAGGATTCCCTGAGTGGTATAAATAGTTAAGCAGTTTACTTGCCAAAGGGTTGATGGTTTAAATCCATCCAGATGAACCTCAATAGCAGACCTGATGTTCTGTTTCTGAAAACCCCATGGAGCAGTTCTGCTCCGCAATATAGGATTCCTGAGTAGAATTAACTCAGGGGCAACTAATCACACAATAACAAAATCATCCCCGTTAATGAAGCCTCTCAAACTTTGTGTAACATATGAAGCCTTGAGGAGCTAGAAAGAATACCATTTGTTGAACTCGTACTTTTGCTAGCAATTGTTAAATATCCTTAGGCCCTCACAGTATAATTTACTAATATGCTGCATTATAAGTTTCTTTTGTGGACCGTTTTTTTTTTATTGTCTTAAGTAAATTTTAAGGTCATGTTTTGTACATAATATCAGAGCTCTGAAAAAGTGAAGTTTTTACTATCACTTATGATTTTCAAATCCATAAATGCCTGATAACCAAGATATTATCTATTTTAATAATTTGTTATTTTAAAAAATTAATTTAATAATGTTATCTATTTGAAATGTATATTTTCCTTTTATCTAGTATTTTTTCCTTACCGATAAATGAGAGAAAAAAGGGGAAAAAAAAAAACCTTATAATGAATGTTATGCTCATATACCCTGAGGTTCATTTGGAAGCATTTGCCATGTATATAATTTAAAGGAAATGAGAGGAAAAATGTATTCACAATTAGGAACCACCTCCATCCATTCAGAGATCTAGGTAGCTGTGCACAATGCTCCCCTTGGGAATCTCCTCAGCTCACCAGGGGCCTGTGGAGCCAGTGTAGTGATGCATCCAGGTTTGCAGAAGAGGACACTGGGAGCTCAGGGAAAGTTACTTGCTCAGGGTCAGGTCCCAGGTGTCTGACTGCAAAGCCAGCACTTTCCCCACCCGACCTGTTGTGTCTCCACATGTTAAGGAGGGCAGCAGTGGAAGGTCCCGATCACACTCAGGAAGGTGAACTAGGGGAGGCATCTTAGCATCTTCAGCAGGTTTCTCTGAAGCTTCTTTACCTCTCCTGATGATTAGATTGTGGTTTTGTGATTCTCTTATATTTATTTATGACTGGTTATAGGTGCTTTTTCCCCATATTCCTGACTGTCCTTTGAAAATCTGTGCTCAGTGTTGATCCTTCTAAGGTCTTTTGAAACTTTTTCTCTTCTCTCCTTTTCTTTCAACTCTTATTTCCTCTCTTCTCATTTTATGTTTGGATTTCTTGGAATTACAGTACCAGAATTTTGTGTTAAATTCTCCATCTCTGTATAGTTTCCCTGAACTTTGTGGAATAAATTTTCGAGACTGCACTCATTGTTACTCTTCTTGCAATCTATTTCCCAGTAGATGTCTTACCACTTCCTCATTTTTCACACTTAGATCTCAAGCTGTTCGTCTTTTGTCTTCCTTTGAGAAATGGAACTGCCAACAGAAAAAGGTCAAAACCATTTAGAGATTCTTTTGTTTTTAAAATCAAGTAGCCCACAGAGTTGGAGATTTGGAGACTTTCTAATTTGGCTTCTGAGAGTTCTTTGGGAGATCCCCTCTCAAAATAGTGTGAAAAGGTTTCAAGAGAGGATGACTCAGCAGAAAAGAAGGTCTTTGATTATGAATGACTTTTCTTTCATTTGTGAAGTGCTATATTCTTTTCTCTGTCTTGAACCTGGTGTAGTTATTTTTCTATTTATATATAACGCATCTTTTATTTATTGCCTTCTCTGTCATATGTTTTATGATTTTGTTCCACGCAGCCCTTATTTTGGCTTTACCCTTATTGAATAGTATATTTTTGCATTAACTTCTTAGTTAATATTTTTCTTCTTCTTTATTATGGAAAATACTGTACTAAGTGCAACCTTATTTAATCTTTCTAGAAACTTAGTAAATGAGATATTATACTTCTCTCTTTACAGGTGAAGAAACTGAAGCTAAGCAACATTGAGGTCATCATAGTGCCAGTACATGCCAGAATTAATTAATGCTAGAATGCAAACCCAGATCTGTTTTCACTTAGTACATATGAGGGGGCTTCAAATAGTGGGAAAACAGAATTGAAAGATAATGGAATTTTTCCACTAACTTTTTGAAGCTTCCTCTTGGTTCCTATTTTTTCATCATTTAAAAGAGGACTTGGAGTAAATTATTTTTAAAATCACATCCTATGATGCCAGATGGTCTGCAAACTTTTCAGTAACCAGAACACAAAGAAGAAGAACTAGCAAGACATTTAAAGCTAAATTGGCTCTTTTCTCTCTTTTCCTCAAAAGTAAAAAGAAAAGAGATGAACCCACAAAAACCTACTCATGTATATATATGCGTGTGTACATATACACCTATTTATGTACGTGAACATGCACATATTTTATATATTTATATATACCACATATATATGATACTATATATAATATGGCTTAGACATATGTCTATGCCTTTGGGCAATATGCTTAAAAGGAATATAATTTTGACTGAAGTAGACAAGAGAAATGTCTTTTCTTATTGTAAATCTTTTGTGTTTTAATGTTTTGAGAACACTTGATAATTCAGTATCATTTTGACATTTTGTTCTAACCCAAGAACCTTTAAGAATACCTTAGACACCTACATTAGCGATTGGATCACATCCCATTGAGGATGTTTGATGATTTATTTTATCATTTTGACATTATTTGTTCTTCTAGCCCAAGAATCTTAATAATCACCTTGGAGACCTAGGTTAGCAAATGGGTCATGTCCCATTTAACCATGTTGGGACATAGGAATTGTATGTTTAAATGACACCCCAGGTGATTCTATTACTGGTGGGTAAAACACACTTTTATACAGTCAAATGAGATATCATGAACATAGATTAAGAGTGAGATATTTGGCGCATGATTTCTGTGCGCATCCAATCAATTATCAGTGCAGTGACAAAACTGAATTTCACCCTTAAAAGTCCTCAGGACCCTGTTAATTATTTGGTTTGTAAGGTGTCTAGTTCCATCTGTTCAGGCCAACTAATGTTTTAATATTGCTTTTATTTTTAAGTCAAATAGCTTCCTTGAGGAAAAATGAAAATCTTCTTGAGATTGTCAGTGAGTGAACACTTTGGTTTGGTACTGTTTTAAGACAGGTCTCGTGTCCAGAAACTAACGGAACTGATCACAGATGAAAACTCTGTAGATCCATGTTCTTCTGCCTTGAAATATAGTCGTGCTGACATTTTTGCCATAACTTTTTTTGGAACGTATTTGCATATGGTGACAGTTGGGGCATGTGTTTGTGTTTCAGGTTGAGCAGCTCGGGCTGTCAGGCCTGGACAGCAATGAGGACAGCTCACAGGCAGCGTTGGGAAAAGGCTTGAATGTGAGTACTGACACCCCAGCAGGGCTTTTACTAACTTGGCAGAACTTTTCACTGCTTTGCAATCCTTCTAAAAACGGAAATGACGAAATCCTTTTAGAATGGTTTTTGTTGTGGTCTACATACATTCACAAAGGTGAAAATGTGTATTCACTTTTTTAGTTGTCCTTAATACATTTGAAAGATTTTTATTTCTAACATTAGTCAGCATGACCAGGAAAATTCTCTAGGCTAACTGAATTTATACTTTCTGGAATTATTGTCACACATTACTTTGCATAGCCTGATGTTTTGGACCCAGCCAGACCTATTTTTTAGCCTTGGATCTGCCAGTTATTAACTCTGCAACCTTACAAATAAAACATGGAACACTCACGTA